AATTATGTTGATTTAGGGCCACTTTAACCCTGCAAGAAGTATAAATGTATACTTAAAACAAACAGTTTAAGAAATTGTGATTTTAAACATAGCATTAAGAAAATATCATCCAAATATAAAAAAAGTTGCTTTTTACTGATTCTTGAATTTTTCAGTTTCGTTTCCTCATTTCTTTCAAGTGAATTTGAAGGAATGTTTTGTACATAATTGTTCAAACATATATTTAAAAATCCTGACGACACTCAAGTTTATTATCTTGTACAGCAAATTACATTCACAGCATCTTTTATTAATACGTACATACTATATTACAAAAATAACTGAGATGAGCCTCAGTTATTTTTGTAAGAAGCTGATGGTGTAGATGAAATGCTTTTCGTACTTTTCAGATATAATAGTCTGGAAAAGTAAATATGTAACTGATATCAATGCCACCATATTTTCTGCTGGGTCTTTGAAACCTCCCAAATTTTACAGTATCAATATATACATAATTTGTTTCCACTAATGTTCCATTTTTTCCGCCAAGATGCAGAAATCTATGCAAGCACTTTAGTTAGTTTCAATATTACTTGCACAATAAACAGCAATTGTATGTGAAAACTTCTGCAACAGTGTCTGAAACTGCAACCAATTTCACCGACCATTGGAAATAATTTCATTGATTAATACTTTTATGAACTTCTTTTACATCTGAAACTTCTGTAATAAACTGTTTTAGAGAGATGTATCGATAGGAATTAGAATGAAGCTGAAGAATAGACTTAAATTAAATTTTTTTTCTTTTATATTCCAGGATTTGCTGTACTGAAATATAGTAACTGCCTTCAGACATCTGATGAAAATCTGTACTCAAATTTGTGAGTTTGAAATTTACACGTTAAATTAATTTTGACCTAATTACTAAAAGTTCTTAATTCTATCGATGATAGCATATATAGTGTGAAAAAGAGCAAAAAATATTTCCTTGCGTAAACATTTGAAATGACTTTTTTTATTATCGTTGTTATTAATCTCACTGATAACACCTACGCTAATTCAAATAAAACGCGAAACGCTGGCGAGAAATTACAATAGGTTTACCATCATTTGTTGGCGATAAAAAGAAACGGCGCATGCGCAGTTCGTTCAAAAGATTTTCTCATAGGGAGCCGTTCACAGCCATCCCTGTTTTGGGCCGCTAGTTTTGTTATGCCTACTAGTTCCCGCTTTAGTGACGTTACTCGCAGCAGAAGGGAGGCCTTGTTGTTCCGTGGTGACGGAACTACTCGTCAGCCGTTTTAAAGCTAAGCCAACGTAGTTTCTTGCATTGCTTGCAAATAAGTGAAAATATTTAGTTTTGAATTGTGGTTAAAAATTGGGTATAAAATTCATTTTAATTAGTTTATCACTATTTGATTTTAATTAAACGGTAAACTACTAACTAAACAGTACGGCCATGTGGCTGCAAACAAAAGATGACATCCATGGCAAACTGAAAAATCAAAGTTAACCCAAAAACGCAATCTATATTTTAAACTTTCGAGTAAGTTCATTTAGTTACGTAAAATAAACTAGCATTAAAAGAATCTAAATAACAGAAGAAAAATAAATTATAAATGGGTATTAAAGAATACTGTTTATAACCTCTGTCTGTTAGTTGGTTTTATTAAAAGAATTTTTTTTTAAATCAATTAATGGAACATATTTAAACGCAACCGCTGCAAAGATTATATTTTAATGTAATACAAAGAAGCATACATCATAATATGAAACAATAATTAACTTACCAGGGTAAACTTCCTTTCTTCTATGATATTAACTTGTTACAAGTCCGAGCATGAAGATGGTCGCACTAATACGAAAGTCTAGACAATACATATTCTTTGTTCAAAGAATGTTTTGACCATTTCCACTATGGTCTGCTCTCATTGGATGAAACGTCTGCTTGGGGGTCATATGTGGAATGACGAGTTATCCCTTTGGGAAGAAGGAAGCCGACACGAACCCCTCTTGGGGAGCATACCGGGTAATATGTGACGTCACTGGGTTCACCAAGGGGGTTTTTTTTTTTTTTTTTTTTTTTTTTTTTTTTTTTTTTTTTTTTTTTTTTTTTAACTTAAAAGTTATAATTGATGATACTTTTAAAGGGATTTTGTATTTAGAAAGTTCTTGTAGTGAGAAATCACTGAAAAAATGGTATCGTGTGCCGTTGCTACCTGTAGCAATACGAATCATAATACGAAAGAAACTAGCGTGGTATTTCATAGATTTCCGTACAAAAATATTCAGTTAACGAAAGAATAATTGCATAGGTTTCGAAGAGTGGATATTGCTAACACAAAGAGTGCTCGAATATGCAGCAATCTGATTATGAAGATGATATGAAAAATAGGTTGCTAGGATTACCGACAAAAAATATACTAACTGCTTGTATTCCTGATTTGGTTATTTATCAGAATACACCAAGCAGCAAAGGCAACAAAAAAGAAAAAAAATTACAAAGTGCATTTGAAAGAATTCAGAATTTATTTAAGTCCTAAAAAGGCATGTCTGGAACTTCAAAACGATAACAATAATAGTTATGAGGAGCTCACTGAAAATAACATTACTCAGCAATGCTGTAACTGTTCCAACCTCCATAAAAATGGGAATGATTTAATCACAAAACTATCAGCTCTTGAGAATAAGGTTTCTGTTTTACAGACTGAGAGAAAGCAGCATTTAAAAACTATCTCCCAGCAAAGAAAAAGATTTAAAAGGAATAGAAAACTAGTATTAGAAAAAGTTCAGAAACTGAGGAAAGACATTAAGAAAGGGAATCAAAAAAATGAAAAACGAAGAAAAATGAAAACGTATATTCAAAACATATTTACGGAAACTCAAATAAATGCATTAATAAAAAAAATTAAAAAAAAAGCGAATTAAATGGTCTCCAGATGACATTTGAAAAAGCATAGTAATCAGATCATTATCCGTAAAGTCATACGACTTCTGAAAAGAAAAAATGTGTATTCCGCTTCCAAGTCCAAGTACACTGAAAAGATGGTGCTCAGGATGCAGTTGCATTCCTGGCATTTTAAATGATGTACTGTTATTGATTAAAAAAAAAAAAAACTTGCCAAAATGCAACTGACGAAGAAAGATTATGCGTATAAGGTTTCGATGAAATTCACATAGATACAAGACTCTATTATGATTCAAAATTAGATCAGATATTTGGTCCTTTTAAAAAGACTCAATTTGTATTGGTTCGAGGACTCATTTCGCAATGGAAACAGCCCATTTATTTTGATTTTGATCGTCAAATGAAGGGAAATCTTCTTTCTTCCATTTTTTTGTACTTGAATCATCTGGGCTTCGAGTCAAAGCAATTGTATCTGATATGGAATGTAGTCAGACCCTGTTGTAGGAGTGGTAATTAACGCCAAACATTAAAATTGTGGGCTTTCAGTAAAGCGACGGGAAACAGCGTTTATTTCATTCCACAATTTTTTATTTTATGAATGAAAACTAAGGGGAATTGTGTGGAATATATTTTAAATAACCAACTGATCTTATTAATAGTTTATTTGTATTTGAATTTTAAAAGTACGATAATTGTTTTGCAAGAAATTGTTTCTTTTCTGTTAGGGGGCCCACCAGCCGGCGAGCGTAAAGACGCTGAACACTGGTATGTCGGTCTGAGGTTCGAATCCCCGCGAACGGGCTGTCTGCATGGGCGTTTTCGTAGTTTTCCCACATGTGTAACGTGTATACGAGCCAGTTTCCCTTAGAAAGTCCTCCACGAAGGCATCCCTCCCTTTAGGTAGATAGCCCTCGTGTGCTTTGCCATAATTGAATAATACTTTTCCCAATCCCATTTCTGTTAGGAAGAGTCTGTTGTGTAAATTTCAATAGCGCATTAATTATACAAATAACGGAATGTTAAATAATAAACCAAATGAAAACATTCAGTAAACATTTGAGGGCGTCGGATACCTATTCTTTTTATCTAAATTATAAGTAAAATTATATTTTATTCCATTATGCGCTATTTCCATTTATAATATGTAATAGTTTGTAAATGGCAACATTTAATAATTAGTAGTTTGTAATTGGCAACACTTTGGATACAGATATGAAAAGTAATTTTTTTAACAAGTATTTGTAGATTGCGATGTGTTTATTTTAAATCGCACGGAAATGACTGTTTTGCATAAACTGCATTGATATTTTACAAAGATTGTCGACCTAATTCGCATAAGATAAGATCCTGTCAAATATATAAGAAGTAATTTGGCTAAAATTTGATTTCGTCAATGTCATTCCTGTTTATGCGGAACATGAACTGCATCATGAGGAGCATAGCAAATTGTATAAAATAATGTACACATATATGCAGGGGAAAAAATGGGAAACTGTATAATGTATAACGTATGCTACTAGTCATTTCAGGAAAAGAATGTTTCATATGCTTATCCAGACACAGGTTTGTCTAGTGTGTGACATGCCATTAAGATATGTTAACTTCATCGAGCATATTTTGCATTACACAGGAAAAAAAACTCATCTCTTTGAAGAATGCAATAAATAATTTGGAAAAGCAGCCAGGTTAAAAAAAAAACATAAATTAATGAAGCGTATGTTTATTCACATAAAAGAGAAACCTCGTATGTGTGAGGTATTTAACAATTCGTATATATTGAGAAGTGCTATAATGAAACATATGTCTATTCATACAAGAGAGAAACCACATTTATGTAAGGTATGTAATAATCCTTTATGTTGAGAACTAACTGTGTTTAGAAACATTTGCTTATTCATGCAGAAGAAAAACTACATGTGTGCAAGGTATGTAATAACTCTTTTAGATCACAAGACAGTTTATACATGCATATGCTTATTTATATATTGGGAGGGGGTGTGAACTCATGTGTAAAGAAGGCGACAAGTCAATGCTTATTCACACAGGAGAGAAATCTCATGCATGTGAGGTATATAACAAGTCATTTTGAGAAAAAGGTGTTTTAAACCAGCATATGCATATTCACACATTAGAGAAACCTCGTGTGTGTGAGGTATGTAACAAGTCATTTCCAGAAAAACATACTTTAAACAAACATATGCATATTCATGCAGAAAGGAAACCTCATATCTGTGAGGTATGTAACAAGTCATTTAGATTCACAAGTGCTTTAAACAAACATTTGTTTATTCACAGAGAAGAAAGACCTCATGTGTGTAACGTATGTAACAAGTCATTTAGATTAAATGGTCATTTATTCAGGCATATGCTTATTCATACCGGAGAGAAACCTTATATGTGTGATATATGTAACAAATCATTTAGAGAAAAAAGTGCTTTAAATAAACATGCCCTAATTCACACAGGAGAGAAACCATATTTGTGTGAGGTATGTAATAAGTCATTTAGAGAAAAAAGTGATTTAAGCAAACATATGCGTATTCATACAGGAGAAAAACCTCATGCGTGTGACATATGTAATAAACCATTTAGACAAAAAAGTTCTTTAAACAGACGTATGCTTATTCACAATGGAGAGAAACCTCATGTGTGTGAGGTATGTAACAAATCATTTAGATCTAAGTGTCATTTATTTAGACATATGCTTATTCACACAGGAGAGAAACCTTTTGCATGTGACATATGTAACAGGTCTTTTTTTAGACAAAGGTGATTTAAACAAACATATGCGTATCCATACAGGAGAGAAAGCTTATGTGTGTGAAATATGTAACAAGCCATTTGGACGAAAAAATACTTTAAACAGACATATGCTTATTCACAATGGAGAGAAACCTCATGTGTGTGAGGTATGTAACAAATCATTGAGATCTAAGTGTCATTTATTCAGGCATATGCTTATTCACACAGGAGAGAAACCTTTTGCATGTGATGTATGTAACAGGTCCTTTAGAGACAAAGGGGATTTAAAAAATTCACACAGGAGAGGAACCTCATGTGTGCGAGGTATGTAACAAGCCATTTAGACGAAAAAGTACTTTAAACAGACATATGGTTATTCACAATGGAGAGAAACCTAGTTTGTGAGGTATGTAACAAGTCATTTAGATTTTAGTGTCATTTATTCAGGCATATGATTATTCATACAGGAGAGAAACCTTATGTGTGTGAGGTATGTTAAGAAGCCATTCTGATGAAAAAAATACTTTAAACAGACATATGTTTATTCACTGGATTTAAGTGTCATTTATACAGGCTTTTGCTTTTTCATACTGTGGAGAAACTTCTTGTATACGAAGTATGTTGCAAGTCATGTGGACATAAATTTAATTTAAACAAGCATATGCTGGAACTACTCTGATATGCGCCCTCAAGTCGCTAAAATTATCGCTAAACATTTTAGGCGAGAAACTCCAAGCTGCGACATTACTATCTAATTTTTTTGTTTACATTTCGAACTTTAAGCCTAAAATGTCTCCAAAAACGCAGTTTTCGAACATGCAAAAACCACGTTTTGAACGCACAATTTAAGCTACAAATCCGAAACAAAAAATTTAGATAGCAAAAACGTAAAGTTTTAACGTAAACCAAAAATATTTGACAAGAATCCATGTATACAACGATATGTTTTAACTTAAAAAAACATCTACGAATGGAACAATCTAGACAAAGAACATAATAACAGTGGTATAAATAGCAAGATTTTTCTTTTAATAAAATCAGAATTTATTTTGGTACTCATTTGTTATTGCAGGGGTGGCCAATCTTTTTGGGAAGCGTACCACTATCTGAAAGAAAAAGAAAAAAAAGTTTTGTGTGCTTTTTCCAACATACTGAAAAAATATAAAAAGAGGAAAACAAATGTTATTTATAATGTGATTATGGGATTTTTATCCAAATGCACATTTTTTTTTATGTAAGTCCGAGTCGTGGACATTTAAAGGTGAAAATATATTTACGGGTGCCCTTTGGCAATAATTGGCGGTACAATGGACATTGAGTTTGTGCCATTCTTTGACTTGATATTTTTTTTTTTTTTTCCGCCAAAAATCAAAATACTGCTACTCAAATCCAAAATAAGTCAAAGAATGGCACAAACTCGGTATCCATGTACACACTGACCAATTTTCACTTAAAAACATCAGAGAATTGCACAAACTAGGCATTGTGCACTCCCTTGACTTTGCCTATGTACACATCGATGTATATTCAGTCAAAAAGTCAAAGGAGCAGCCAACAGAAAATATATAATCTCATTAAACTACATTTTAAATTAAACTGTGAAATAACATAAAAAAGGAAATTCATCTTAGCATTATACAAAAGAAATATCCACTTACCTTATTTACAAATTTATGTCTTCAGTGAAAAGAATTCCTTAACAGCATTCAAAAACGTCCTAAAATTATCTGAAATAGAGTCTGTATACTGGCGTTTGCACATAAATTCACAAAAATATCCTCCGTAGTGACGGTATCATCTGACATTCGACCATACGCATTTCCTTCCTACAAACAGGACACTTAATAATGGTTACAAAGTAAACCTTCATTTACATACCAGTCAGTTAATGCTTTTTTCTCTTTTGTTCCAAATCGTACAGAAACTTGAAATTAATCTTACCACATTCAGCCATTTTATCCTGTAAACCAAAATATAACACCGTGCTTCCAATCCAAAATCTGACAGCCACTTTCCAAATCTTTTCCTGTCATTCAAATTGACCGCAACCACACAACTAATTACCTCATAATAGGGTTTCCATAACACTCATCTACTCAGGTTACCATAAATGAAATAACAACTTGGTGATAATCCAAGTGGCACCCTTAAATCTACTCTAACCCGTTTAAAAAATAATGTAATGAATAAAACAAATGTACAATCTAGGGTTTTATTGTTAATAAACATTTTTAAAGGCTGAGTCAGTTAGGTTATGTACAAACAAACATGTATACTTTGAAGCATTTAATTTTAACTAACTATTAAATAGTGAGTACCTAATTAATATGGTTTTTGAATATACAGTCAAAAGTAGTTAATCCGGACTCGTCGGGACTTCGGCGATTCCGGATTATCGATTTTTCCGGATTATAGATCATCAGTTTAAATCTCGTAAGATGGCATGCAGAAATTACAAAATTAAAAATATGAAACCGTAATTTATGAAATAAAGAACAATTATGATCTAAAGGGTATCAAAATTTACAAAAAGAAAAAGCTTAATATTTATTTGTTTACTTTATTAAACATTTCCTTCAATGTAAGTTGCTTCGTTTCATGTGATACTTTCTCTTTAATTCTATTAATCAGACATAATTTCTTGTTTAGTTACAAAGTTCCGCTGTTCAAGTCCTATAATTGCTGTGTTGAGAATGCCGACTAATTTGTCAATCGAAATGTTTTCGTTCTCAATAACCTCTGGGTCACTTTCTTCACTATCGGAAGCGAATTATAATGACGAGAACTTGATTTAAATCATATCAAAGACGGAGTATATCGAGATGAAATACTACACTTAGTACGGAATTATAAACCAAATAAAATAAAAACATCTGCCCTGAAGATAAGGATAGTGCTGACAGATCAACTTCCAATCCGCGGCGTGAAATTGATAAACAGATTTCGGATTTCAAAACATACTTTCGCTTTGTAGATACAAATTACATATTAGTAAATATATATCGGAAATTCTATTTGACATAATCTTTCTAATCTATCATAATCTAATAATGACGTTTCTGCCCCCCCTCCGCCGCAAAGCAGCGGGAAATTGATAAACAGATTTCGGATTTCAAAACATACTTTCGCGGAGGTAGTAAATATATATCGGAAATTCTACTTGACATAATCGAAAGTTCAAGCTTACTTTTATAAAATTGCTCTAACAGTCTGCAAAAAATAATAAGCCGGATCCAATTCAAAGATTAAGGAACAACGCAACCAGCAACATTAACTGAATTAGATAACTTTAGCTTAGCGTATAACTCCGTTACACATTAAACGCGCATGCGCACAAACATATTCGCAGCCGTAAGGGTCTTACGCGCTCTCGCAAACGCCTATGCGCATGCGTGAACGCGACGCATGCGCAGAAAGTTTGTATCTTTGAGGTCCGGATTATAGATCATTCCGGATTATGGGTGTCCGATTTAACGACTTTTGACTGTATAGTTTTACCAAGTGTTCTATATTAAGATTAATTTTTGAAGATTCTAACAAAATTAAGTGTTTTATGTGCACTTGAGTTAATCTTGAACGATATTTTTATTTTATTCTGTCCATAAACGAAAACATTTTATCATAAAAATATGTTGATCCAAACCTACAACAATATCTGACAGCCAAATCTTGTAAATTTGGAAAATTGCTTGTTTGTACAAAATTCAAAATAATTTGGATCATTTGCAGTTTAAATATGTTCCTTGTATTTGCTTTTCAGTCTAGTATGCTTCTGTAGGTCAATACTTTTGATTTGGATTTCAGTTGGGTAACAGTTAATGTCTTGCAGAGAAACTGAATTATTATATTTATTCTAATATGTTTATGTGAGCTTGTGTCGATAGAGTTGATACAAGCGCTATTATATTTTCAAATCTTTTAATTGAGTAAGTCTTCAGTGCCACTGTTAAATCTCCGCCGTGACACAGATTGGCCATCGGAACCAAATTTTCAGACTTGTGTGTATGCATGTGTATAGGGATCTATGTGTTCATGTGTACAATGTATATACGTACGTATGTGTGTGTATACACACACTACATACACATATACGTACACCTGGGCATACATACATGCATTTTTTAATTTGGTTCGGATAACAGAAGATTACCTTTAATTCTAATGGATGTTTTCTATTTAGAATTTTGAAATATTTTCGCTTGGTGTGTTCACATCTTTTTATTATAGATTTGTTAGAAATATGATCTCTTAACCTCATTGCCTATCGCATATTATGTATGATACACTTCAGCCTTCCTCCGAGGGCTCATCCTATTATATTGATATAGGAGCAAAGTGTGACTGGCAGCATATCATATATATTCGATATGCTGAACAGAATCTTTCATTTGATGGTTTATTAGGGCATAAATGATGCCAGAATGACACGAAACTTCATTGAACGGAATGTCTCTAGTGTTAACATTCATCTTATTATTTGCTCTGTATTTCTATACATGTACAATGGTTACATTGGGTGTTCAAAATTTAGGAATGTTTCTTGCAGTGTGACTCAAAATTTTATAAGTAAATATGACAGTAAGCTATAATATGCCCACATATTTAAATTCTTTTTTTTTCTTTTCGTTATTGTATGTAATTAACTTTAATGTCTGCATATAATCATTGTTTCAAATGATGCGCTGTAACTTATTGTTAAGTTTTATGGTTACTTTCTAATTATCCACTAAGCAAAGAATTTGGCAGACAATGCACTGTGTTCCTAAAATGGCAACCCACAACATTGGCAAAATGTATTTACTTAGACATTCATGTGTATGTTCATGCGCATCAGACAAGTAGTGTTTTCAGCCTTGAAAACACATGAATATTTAATAATTACTAATAAATTTCTTATAATGGAGTAGTAGTGCAAATGAAATGAGTAAATTAATGCAAACATTTGAAAAATTATGAAACTTATATGAACAAGCTCCAGCCATAATTTATAATAGATGTAAAATGAACGTTTAAGTTAAATTAATTTCTGTACAATAGAAAACTAATTATCTGTGTTTTGATGACCGGAGTTCCGTGTCATCTCAGCCTAATAATATTGAAAACAAGGACAGAAGGAGCAGATGATGTAGAATTGGTGGCTATCTTAACCTTTTAACTGTCATGCCCGAGATACAGCACTGGTGTTCGAAAATGTCACGCCCGAGTATTTCTCGGGGTAATTTTTTTTTGAGTGCATCGTATTGTCATACCCGAATATATATCGGGAGATGTTTATTTCGGCTACATTTGGTTTTTCCAATAAAAAAATTTGACAATTTGTGTACTCAAATCATCAAAATAACTTGACAGTTAAAGGGTTTTAATTCGTAACAGGGGAGTTCAAATATTGGGACGTAACCGGGGACGTGCGGTCAGAGAGACCGCATCACGTTATGATTTAAATAAGGAGTTTTATTCCAAATATTAAAATTTTATTTTACCCATACATTCTATAAATACTTGTCTTCAAACAGAAAATATATATATATATATATATATATATATTTCCAAAGAAATCGATCAACACAAGGAACTTCTTTTCTGCAACATGAACTTTTTTTTACGAAAAAACACTTGCAAATGTAAATTATGCAAAACAAACCAGAATAACTATTATCTTTATAAATAATAATTATTTTCCATTGACCCGGGAGAAGTGGCGCGGGGCACAGAGTCACCCCATGCGTCGAAAATCAACTATCCTGACCGGAAATATTTCATGTTAATGAATCATCCTTCTAGTATCCTCCTGTCTGACACTCCCCTTGGAATGTGTATTGTTATTTTTGCTTGTTTTTCTTTTCTGCGAGAGAAGCAATCGTTTCTTGGAACCCATGAGGGAATGGGGTGACTCAGTCACCCCACGCGACCGTTACCGTGGCCTTCGAGAACCCATGCTTACAGCTCAGTGACGTAGAGCATGAACCTTATAAAAGATAGACTAATTAATTTTGTGTGTTTACTTGCCTGTATGATTGCTGCATTTTGTATAGCTTCAGAAAGGGACTGTTAACTTTTTAATGACTGGAGATGTAGGAAAATTAGATAAGATCATTGAATCGTACATCCTAAAAAAGTTATACATGTAAAATCTGAATCAAAAAGTTCTGAATTAGACTCTGTAGTGTGCCAGTAAATGGTATAACTGAATTGCACTTGTACCTATGATGATTTTCAGTTTTAATAAGATAGTGTGGCAAAAGATTTTTTCCATCTCTTGGTGCAATACCATGCCAGATATTATAGTTGCATTTTGGTAATTGCATGTGTGTGTGTCAGTACAGGAAGTTATGCACGTAGTTCATTAGAGGACAATTCACAACATCCTTAGTGTAGTGTATAAGTCAGTGATGATATGCCTAATGTTATCATTTGTCTCTCAACTGCGGAGTCCTAAGCAGAAAAAGCGTTCCATTGCAGGGTGCCAGAATATTTTGTGGCGTATATTCTCTTTTTTTAACTAATTATATATATATATATATTTTACAAATGGCGGGCACTTGCCTATAATGGCATTGGCCATTACTAATGCCAGAAGCATTTTATGATCTAAAAATTCAAAAAGAGAAAATGACTTGATTTGAAATGATTTGTAATGTTCTTACTGTAACAGCAGTCTTCGGAAATTAAATTATTTAGATTAATTATTAGATTTTATTATTTTTAAATTATTAAATTTTTTAGATCATAAAATCTAGAAGAGAAAATGTGCAAATAATTTAATTTCCGAAGACTGCTGTTACAGTAAGAACATTACAAATGAAAAGTAATCATGAATAAACTTCAGCTAACTTTCACTGTGTTATTTCTTTAGTATAAATCTCATTTCCACTAAGAGATAATATTAGCATTACAATAGCTAATAAAATATCTTCATTTCTACTTGCCTGTAATCTTTAACCTCTATTTTTATTGTTGTCTCTGCTAATATTTAATCTTAAATAACTGGAGAAGGTGAATATGTAGCTAACTGTATGAACCCATAGAATGTGTTGTGAAATGAACTGAAGTAATACCAGCGCGAGGCACTGCTGTTCGTGACGTCAGCCTGCGTGCTGAGCGTTTTCGAATGGATTGCTTGTAGACAGTACGAAAGCTGATCTCGGAAGAGTGATACTGTTTTGATGAAAATAAAGAATGGCTTATTAAGAATTTTTTGTCTTTATTCATAATGCACCCAGCCTCGGGTAGAGGCAGCCTGCAACCGAACGAACTGTTTTGAATATATTTGATTTATATATTTTCTGCGTGCTTCGCAACAGAGTGGTACCCTCGGCGGGACCGGGTGCTATGGATTAGAATTTTCCGATTGAACTTTTGATTTTGAGCTTCTATTTTGAATATACTTTGAAGATGGATTTGATCGGTTTAAAGGCTCAAAGAAGAGGACTTAGAATTGCGTTTTCTCAAACCTCAAGGAAAACCGAAAGTGAATTAACTAAAGAAGTAAGAGATTTAAAACTACTTTCGATTTTGAAGTGTCAACTTTCTGATAAGTTCCAGAGCCTCCTCTCTTCCAAGTAACTCCAAATCTAGGAAATTTAAATTGCCCAAAATTGAGCTAAAAAAATTCAGTGGTGAAGCTAAAGATTACCTGACTTTTTAGAGTCAGTTCCAGAAAATCCACGACGACAAAAGTATCGCCGATGAAAATAAAATGCAGTATCTATTGCAGGCCATGGAACCCAAATCGAAAGCAGAACGCCTAGTCCCTAGCTTTCCGGCAACGGCAGCTAATTATCCTAAAGCTATCGAACAACTAAGAGAGCGCTTTGACGCGAAGATTTACTTGTGCAAATCTATGTGAGAGACTTGTTAAGCCTAGTGATGAAGAACGCTGTAACCGGACGAGCAAAAACTGATCTACCCTCCCTGTTATGATGAACTAGAAGGGAAACTGAGAGTGTTGGAAAGTTGGGGAGAACCCAAAAAAATATGGGGATTTTTTGACCCCCTTAGTGGAAAGTTGCTTACCAGAAGAAGTACTGATGGCATGGGAAAGAAGCAGAAATCACGACTCAATTGAAACTAAAGGCACTCGATCCTTGCAACATTTAATGAATTTCTTAAAACAGGAAGTTAAGGGGGAAGAGATGGTTCAACTCGCAGGAACTGGTTTCGCTTCCCAACAGAACCATCGGAAGAAAGACTTTAACCACGAACAGGTAAAGCAAAATGAACCCGTAACAGCGTCAGCTCTAGTAAGTCTTGGGAATTCAGGTAAATGTTTTTGTGAAAAGAAACATTTTAGTGAAAAATGTTACTCAAAAAAAAAAAAAAAAAAAAAAAAAAAAAAAGACTTTAGCTGAAAAACAACAATTGTTGTTGAAAAAAGGTGCTTGTGTTTCTTGTCTGAAAAGAGCGAGTCTCATTAGTAAATTTTGTCCTTTGAAAGGTAAGTTAAGTTGTTCTATTTGCAAAAGTTGTAATCATTTTGATGTAATGTGTAATCAAAAGCTAAAAAATAACGATCAGATACGTGTTTCAAAAGAGAGTTCTCTTTCTAACTGTGGCAGAAGCGAAACTGTATTTTTTGCAAACGCTTTGTGTTCGAGTTCGGTGTCAAGGTCGCGAGAAAATTATTCGCTGCATAATTGATAGCGGAAGCCAAAGCAGCTACGTTAGTGAAAGTATCATGAGTCAGCTTAAAGCATCTCCTCTTAGGGAGGAGACAGTTATACATGCACTGTTTGGGGGGGGACGAAACGAAACCTAAACAACATGAAGTGTTTTCGGTCGAGGTCAGCAATTTAAAAGGAACGTTCGCATGTAGTTTTGAAGCACTTTCTGAAAAAAGGATTTGCGGTTTTATTCCTAAGGTTAAGGATAAAGAGATTTTGAATGAATTAAAAGAAAAAGAAATCGAATTTTCTGATCCATTGCGAAAGGAAATTGAAATTAACCTTTTAATCGGAGCAGATGTTATAGGAAAATTATTGACGGGAAATTCTATTGAATTACAGTCGGGGGTAACGGCTGTCGAAACGAAACTTGGGTGGACGGTATTTGGAAAACGAAATTCGGGTGAAAAGGATAATATTTTGAAAACATTTTCAATGCATGTCAGGAGAATTCCTCTGAATGAGTTATGGGAACTTGAAAACATAGGAATATGCGCTCCAAATCGAAACTGTTAAAATGAATGAAAGTTTTAATTTATCTGAATTTGAGAATAAAAAATGAAAATTCTTCCAGATGGAAGATATGAAGTAGAACTTCCGTGGAAATGTGATACGACACATTTAACCGATAATAAAGAATTATCCTGGAAAAAGGTATCAAAAGATGATCTATAAATTCAGATATAGTAAATTTTTCGATGATTATCAAAATGTGTTCAAGGAATGGGAAAGGTTGAATATTATTGAACGCGTACCAGAAACCGAACTGAATAATGAATGTCATTATTTGCCGCATAGGCCTGTAATCAAATTAGGAAGTGAAACCACGAAAATTCGTCCTGTTTTTGACGCTTCTGCATCTGAGAAAGGGAAACTCTCTTTGAACGAATGTTTGTGTAAAGGAATAAAATCTTATTGAATTAATACCTGATATTATAGATCGTTTTAGAATGTATCCGATTGGTATTAGTGCCGATATTGAAAAAGCTTTTTTAATGTTATCCGTCGCATCTAAAGATAGAGATTTTCTCAGATTTTTTTTTCCCATGCAATTAAGGGCAATTAATTTTTAGGCATTGCAGAGTTGTGTTTGGAGTTTCTTCGAGCCCCTACTTGTTGAAAGCATCTATGATGCATCTATTAGAAAACTGTCCACGTCAATTTGGTGAAGTTGCTCAAAAATTAATATCGTCATTTTATGTGGATAATTGTTTATCTAGTGTTTTTAGTATTGATGAACAGTTTATGTTTATTGAACATTCCAAATTAATCATGTCAAATGGATGTTTTAACTTGCGCGTTTTGAAAGCAATGTGGCAGGTACAAATGTTGACAAACATTCAGGAGATACTTCCGATTTGGGGGTAATTTGGAATTTGGATAATGATACGCTGAGGTGCTGCACAGATACAGATACATTGACCTGTGATACGAAAATCACAAAGAGGACAATGTGAAAATTGTGCAAACAATTTTTGATCTTACTGGTTTATTAAGGCCAACTACATTGCTTCCGAAACTGTTGTTGCAAAAATTGTGGAAAGTGAAAATTGCATGGGATGATGAATTGTCTCCAAATGATGTAAATATATTTTTGAACTGGTTTAAAGAACTTAATGTTTTGAAAGATGTTACTTTGCCTCGATACTTGTTTATCAATGACACGTCTGAACTACATGTATTTGTGGATGCTTGCAAGGGGGCGTATGCAGCGTACGTCTTTGTTCGATCAGTATTTAATTCTGAAGTAAAAATAAATCTCGTACGGGCGAAGTCTAGTCTAGAGTATCGCCTTTGAAATCTTTAAGCATTCCTCGCTTAGAATTAATGGCCTGTTGTATAGGTTCTAGACTTGCAAATTCTATTATCAAGGCTCTCAGTTTTCCCGATTTAAAAGTTACCTACTGGTCTGATTCCACCACTGCCCTTTGGTGGATAACAGAGCAAGGCAATTGGTCCCTTTTCGTCGAAAATAGGGTTAAAGAGATTCGAGAGTTGACGCGAGGTCATTCATGGAGACATGTCCTAGAGAAACTAAATATTGCCGACTTGTTATCGCGCGGATAAGGCTCCTTGTGGTTGCGAGAATGCTCTGAAAACTGGCCCACTGGTGAGATTATTTGTTTGCATGAAGAAGTAGAATTTGAGAGGAAAACGATAAAAATAATGAATATTGATCTATCAAAAGACGCACCCCCTTGGCATCGAATCGATGTATCCAATTATGACAAAATGATTAGAATATTTGCATGGATATTTAGATTTGTAAATAATTGTAAAGGTGGTTTTGAAAAGAATAGAAACATTGAACTTTCACAGTATGAAATTGAAAATTCTGAGAAAATTTTAATTCGTTTGGTTCATAATTATTATCTGACTGATAAGAAATCTTATAATTTTATCGAAACGCTGATTGATGATGATGGTATTCTGAGAGTTAAAACGAGAATAATAAATAGAGATGACCATGAATCCTTTCTGTATCCAATACTGTTACCAGAAAAATGTGATTTCACTAAGTTATTAATCCGAAATGTACATAATAAGAACTGTCGTGCTGGTCTTCAGATGATGCAATGTATATTACGAGAAAGATTTTGGATAGTCAAAGCTAGAAAGGCCATTAAAATGTCCTCTTTAACTGTATCGTTTGTAAAAGATTTAAAACTAAACTATGTCAAGCGAACCGACACCTCTGCCACCAGACCGAGTTACGGATTGTGCGCTATCTGAAATCATAGGGATTGATTTGGCTGGACCCATTTTTAAAAAATGGAGGAAAGGTGTGGATCGCGCTGTTCACGTGCGCTGTGTATCATGCCATTCACCTTGAACTTGTTAATTCTCTTTCTACTCATGCGTTTCTCCTGGCGCTTCAACGATTTGTTGCTAGGCGGGACGCACTAGAATAATCTATAGTGATAACGGGACAAATTTTCGGGGTTGCATCTAATGATTTATCAAAACTTAAATTGGAGCTAAAGTATTAAAGGAAACGGGAACTGAAAAGATACTCTGGAAATTTATTTCACATACTGCAGCTTGGTGGGGCGGCTGGTGGGAGAGGTTGGTTCGTACAGTAGAAGAATTGCTGAAATGTACTTTAGGCAAATCAGTGTTATCATATGAAGAACTTTACACTATTCTTTGTGATTGTGAAACTATAATTAATTGTAGACCCTTAACGTATGTTTCTGAAGATCCGCAAGAATTAGTACCTCTGACACCCGCGATGTTTCTTATCGAGAACAGAAATTCCATTGTTGAAGATCTTGATGAATTAAATTCGTCAAGTCTTAATAAGAGATTAAAGTATAGAACTAAATTGTTAAATGATATGAGACAACGATTTAGAAAAGAATACCTTGGTCAACTAGTTCAAAAGCATAATGAAAAACGATCTCGGGAACCTGTAGTAGGAGAAATAGTACTGATGGGGGATGATAACAGAAAACGTTTATTTTGGCCCTTAGCCCGAATTACAGAATTGATCCCTGGATTCGTACGGTTAAATTTAAGACCCGGCACAGAACAGTTATACGACCAATACAACGCATCTTTCCTCTGGAGATACAGGCCAATGACAGAAACATAATTTCTGATAAGAACTGGGTGCAGAGGAATCTAATTCTAGTGCTGGGTGTACGTTAAAAAGGGGAATTGTACCTGATAAAATGGTGATGCAACAATATTTCTCCTCTGGACGACTTGTAAAAGCTCCAAAAATACTTCATCTTTTAAATAATGTTTGTTATGAGTTTGAGACTCAACCTGAGTCTCAAGGGGGGAGGATGTTGTGAAATGAAGTGAAGTAATACCGGCGCGAGCCGCTGCTTTTGAACTGGATGCGTTGAACTGCGGTGCTTAACCACCAGGGTGCCTGGGCGCCATAGCCCCTACCCCTCATCGAATAACATGATAAAAGTTTCGAATTATGAGAAATATAACTGAATGTGCTAAATAATTAAATGAGTAAGAGTTTAAATTCATAATTGCTAATAGTTAAATACAGATTTTTTACCTTAAGTACCTAATTACTATCCATACATGATTAACTACTTTTTTTTTAAAAAAAACAACTATTTCACAGAAGAATACATACACACACAAGAGAAACAAAATACGAAGTGCGACGCCTTAGTGCCACTAGTAAAAATAAAATGTAATCAGGATGAAAAGAGAACAATGTACAATAAAGAATCTAAGCAACCATTTGCATAACACATTTACAAAATTACATATTACTAACATTTAGGATCGTCCTTGGGCGTTTACTGACATTGGGGTCCCTAATATCATAACGATAGTTAACAACCACAGGATTGTCCAGAAGTTCCTTGTTTATCATAAAATTCCCTAGATAGGCGGCAATAAAAAATCACAAAGATCCTCTATTCTTAACTCTTTACGAATTTGGCTATTTCCGAATGTACCAGGGGGCATTACATATCATACGCAATACCCCGTTTTGGGCAGCTAGCAACTGCCTTCTCAAACTTTTGCACGAGTATGCCCAGACGAGGCATGCATAACTAAGAATTGGACGCAACATGGTTTTGTAAATGAGCAACTTATTATCAATAGATAGAACACTGTTTCGAGCAATTAAGGGGAAGAGTGAAGCTCTCGAAACTTCCTGAGAATATGTGTAACGTGTGGGTTCCATGTAAGAGATTTACTGAGGATCACCCCAAGATAAGGGACCTGCTTGACCCAGGGAATGCCCACACCATACATTTGCTAGTAAACAGTATATGTGTCTTGTCGACATTCACTTTGATTTTCCATTTGGTCAGCCAAGTCTCTAGCGAGTGGATGTGGTGTTGTAGCTGTTGTATTGCTGAACTAACAAATGCACTTTGCGTAAGGATCGCTGTCTCGTCTGCATACATGGCTAGTGGAGTAGTGGGGATGTCGTTCAGGCGCTGCTGTTCGTGACGTCAGCCTGCGTGCTGAGTGTTTTCGAATGGATTGCTTACAGGCAGTACGAAAGCTGATCTCGGAAGAGTGATACTGTTTTGATCAAAATAAAGAATGGCTTATTAAGAATTTTTTGTCTTTATTCATAATGCATCCAGCCTCGGGTAGAGGCAGCCCGCAACCGAACGAACTGTTTTGAATATATTTGATATATATATTTTCTGTGTTCTTCGCAACAGAATGAATATCAGTTTGTGTTTGTGTCATTGTGATTGGTCAGGTCTTATGCTAAGCTGGCATACAGTTCAAAAGATATGAGGAAAAGGTTCGGTGTGACCTTTGCAGATATTTATGGGATTTTGTATTTGTAAGTAAAATAGAAATCATCAGTACATGGACAAATCTATTTTAAACTATAGGCGAGCTCGTTCTGTGAATGAATTGAGAATGTGGAAAATTATGATGGTTGTGACATAGTTTTGCTTATTTTATTGCATTGCATTTGAAGTTATTTTATTTCATTTTATACTGGGTCTGCTATTTTATCTCCAAGATGATATGCTTGAAAAATTTGTTTTTACATGGGTTAAACAATCTTCACATTTTAACAAAGTAAAAATGTGCATCTGAAGATTGTATAGTTGATTAATGCCATGCATTTTGTTAATTTCAACAAAAAGAGCGGATCTAATTATGCCGTTGTTTTGGAACAATAGGATATAAATTTGGTGAAGTTGCCAGCTGGAGTGTCCTCAGGAGCAGGATTTTGAATTTTCTTTTCTGTTTCAAGGGCGAACTTGCTAGCAAATTCCAATCTGTGTATTATGTAATTTTAATTCATTAGCTGTTATGGTGCCCATTTAGGTATATGCATTAAACGGCCTAGTAACACCATCTATTTTGGAGAAAACTAGGACATTCACCTCTTCTGCTGGATGTGTTTTCTAGATAGGAACCTAAAGTGATCACCTGTATGCTCTATGTTGAGCATGTGTTCATTTTCCCAGTCCACTCAGACAAGCGAAATCTGAGTTTTGAAGATATATTAGACATAGTGGATCGAGACTAATTTTGGTTATGGTGATTTTTTATATTATTGGTGAGTGTTGATACCATTTGGAGATTTCAACTGAGTAGAATGTCAACAAATATTTTATAATTGCATTGCACAAGAAATGGCTTGACAAAAGCATCTTTCTAAGAAAGAACTTAGAGATATCATTGGATTCCCAGAGCCTCTGGAATTCTTCCTTTGAAGATAGGAATGATTCTATAAATATTGTAAAACTGATGACGAAGAACCAGTAGATGTTCCTGGACATACTGAAAATTCATAGTGTGACACGAAGAGATGAACCTGCTGTGGTGGACTTAACTGTGCCATTGATAAGTACAACTAGAGAGGATGAAGACCCAGAACAGGTTAAAAAGAAAAATTTGGCTTTGATTTTGAAGCGGGAGGAGACAAAACGACCCAAGTGCTTGAAAGTGTACCCAAATTCGGATGTTGTAGAGACAAAGAGGAATTATCTTGCTCGTGATTTCCAAGGGAAAAACTTTGAAACTGTGTTTTGAAAAGCTGTTTAATGACAATTGTTTCACGTATTGGCCATTAGACTATGACATATGCTGCTCAGAAGAACATCCATTACTTTCAGCTTTCAAATGACTACATCAAGAAATTTGTTGAAATTCTTTTTACTGGCTATCATTCTCTTCCTCAAGAAATTTATATTTGTGAGATGATGACATGGATATCCAGTGCACGAGTCGAAACATGTATCAAGCAATTTCTCCATCTCAGTGACAACTCGGAGCTCTTAAAGATTACAGGAGTAAAACTTAAGTTTTCAAAATTCATCCAGTGATTGATAAACTAAATGAAGATTTTCTGAAATTTGGCATGTTCTCTAAAAATTTGAGCATTGATGAACAAATGGTTCAATATTATGGGCATCACTATCTCAAGCAGTTTATACATAACTGTATTTTGACTGTATATATGCTGTATTTTGACAAACTGGGAGATGAGAAAAAAGCGCATGGAATATTTGGCTGCAGATTTGATTTGCAGCTAGTGAAATGATGCAGTAGAGCTGGAAAGCAAGATATTCACATTCCCCAACCTAAATTGATCACAGAGTATAACAAGTATATGGGAGGAGTGGACAAGATGGATTGGCATGTCCAAACTGGGTACTATTACCCAGAGTGGACAAGATGGATTGGCATGTCCAAACTGGGTACTAGTAGTAGTGAACTGCCACATGCTGTTACGTTTCATAAACGAAAACCCTGCTGTATTACAGAAGGATGGTTGCCAGGACGTATCATGCTCTGTCTCACCACTATCTGATCCAAAAAAGGCTGGAAGGAAATTTTTCTCTAAATCATCAACAAATCATGTTCCTATTAACACTAAAACATGTGAAAAACACAACATTGAATGCACAGAAATAGGCAAACGGAGGAAATGTGAAGTATGTAAAAAAAAATGCCAAGAAAATAGACCTGCATGATAAATAGCATCAAGAGTAGATGGTGTGCGTAATAATCCCTATTTAGGGATTGTACTAAAATTGAAAATTTCTGAAAAAATGTTGTTGCTATACTTGATAATAGGTGTTTTTATTACTATAGTACAAAGTCCGTAATCCGGACTCATCGGGACTTTGGCGATTCCGGATTATAGATCATCAATTTAAATCTGGTAAGATGGCATGCAGAAATTATACAATTAAAAATATGAACTGTAATGAAATATGAACCGTATGAAATAAAGAGCAATTATGATCTAAAGGGTATCAAAATTTATTAAAAAAAAAGCTTAATATTTGTTTACTTTAGGAAACATTTCTTTCAATGTAAGTTGTTTAAGTTGCTTCGTTTTTTGTGCTAATACTTTCTCTTTAATTCTATAAACAGACAATTTTTTTTGTTCAGTTACAAAGTTCCAGTGTTCAAGTCCTGTAATTGATGTGTCGAGAATACCGACTAACTTGTCAATCGAAATTTTTTCGTTTTCCATAACGTTCTCCGTTACTTTCTTCAAGCGCGCATGCGTGTGTTTGTGGCTTTGAGGTCCGGATTACGGACTTTGTACTGTATTTGGATTACACCAGGAGTTTCCCAGTTTTTGGACATATCTCTCGTTCTCTCAATAGCTCGCTGCATATCCTGGTTTCTTAATTTTTGGCCTTTACTAGTGAAAGTGGTTTTCATAAACAAAACTAAATTGTGCAAATATCAGCAAAAGGCTTAACAGGAGTGGCTTAACACTCCTATTAAACACATGGGACAATGAAATATTATGCCATGGCAATGCATGTTAGAAATGAGATTAGAAAAATTTTCTAAGCCAGAGGAACTACTGGTTAGTTGCACGCTTTGTAGATGCAAATCGCTTTCAAACCTAGTATAAGTCGGTGAGTGGATGTTGCAAAAGGTACAGCATGCTGTGAATATTTAGAATCAGGTACCTTGCAAGCGGCTGTTGCTCACATAGGCACATAAAGATGAATATCTCCACTGGGCCAGAAATCACCAAGCTTAAACAGTAGATAGTGTGTAAAGTTGTTCAATAAATCATAATTTTGTTCGTTTACAAATGATGCGTGACACTGAGTAAACCGATGGCCCAATTTCAGCATTTCATCCTAAATATATGCAAAGTATAATTCAGTCCAATAGTGGATCTATGATGTTGTGGAGGTAGGTGTTTTTCATAGTATAATGAGGGCCCACATGTCAAAGTGAGTGTTTGAATGGATCAGCATGTTTACAACAATAACTTCAAGCAACATCTTCAAGAAGAATATCGATTTAAGGATTACTACAGTAGAACACACAGGACTGCAAGTCTAAGTGAGTGGTCTGATAACACTCATAAAAAACTTCCACACATGTACTTTCCCATTAAATCTCCTGATCTTAAGCATATTGAAAATTTGTGGAACTTTTTGGAATAGTGGATTAAATGCCATATTTAATCCGCTATTCCATCATAATTTCTTCTTTTTTTATGAATTTTTAGTTTTAGCAAACTTTGGGCTCATCCTGTATTAAAATTCATTATGGCACGAACATAATTTAAATCGCAACACTTAAATTACAATAAACAGAATATCTTGATGCATAATGCAAATCAAAATAAAGTGCTTTTTCAAGTAATTATGTTCATTAATGCTTGTCATTCATGTTATTCTTCATTATATCATAACTACAGTCAAAAGTCGTTAAACCGGACTCGTCGGGACTTCGGCGATTCCGGATTATCGATTTTTCCGGATTGGTAAGATGGCATGCAGAAATTACAAAATTAAAAATATGAAACCGTAATTTATGAAATAAAGAACAATTATGATCTAAAGGGTATCAAAATTTACAAAAAGAAAAAAGCTTAATATTTATTTGTTTACTTTATTAAACATTTCCTTCAATGTAAGTTGCTTCGTTTCATGTGATAATACTTTCTCTTTAATTCTATTAAACAGACATAATTTCTTGTTTAGTTACAAAGTTCCGCTGTTCAAGTCCTATAATTGCTGTGTTGAGAATACCGACTAATTTGTCAATCGAAATGTTTTTCGTTTTCAATAACCTCTGGGTCACTTTCTTCACTATCGGAAGCGAATTATAATGACGAGGAACTTGATTTAAATCATATCAAAGACGGAGTATATCGAGATGAAATACTACACTTAGTACGGAATTATAAACCAAATAAAATAAAACATCTGCTCTGAAGAAAAGGATAGTGCTGACAGATCAACTTCCAATCCGCAGCGTGAATTGATAAACAGATTTCGGATTTCAAAACATACTTTCGCTTTGTAGATACAAATTACATATTAGTAAATATATATCGAAAATTCTATTTGACATAATCTTTCTAATCTATCATAATCTAATAATGACGTTTCTGCCCCCCCCCTCTGGCGGGCGGAGCAGCGTGAAATTGATAAAAACAGATTTCGGATTTCAAAACATACTTTCGCTTTGTAGTAAATATATATCGGAAATTCTATTTGACATAATCGAAAGTTCAAGCTTACTTTTATAAAATTGCTCTAACAGTCTGCAAAAAAATAATAAGCCGGATCCCATTCGAAGATTAAGGAACAACGCAATCTGCAACATTAACTGAATTAGATAACTTTAGCTTAGCGTATAACTCCGTTACACATTAAACGCGCATGCGCACAAACATATTCGCAGCTGTAAGGGTCTTATGCGCTCTCGTAAACGCCTGTGCGCATGCGTGAACGCGACGCATGCGCAGAAAGTTTGCAGCTTTGAGGTCCGGATTATAGATCATTCCGGATTACGGGTGTCCGAATTAACGACTTTTGACTGTAGTTATCTAGATTATACTTAAATCCTGCCAATTTATTCATACTAGAAAAACTGAAAACAATATTCATTGCATAATACTTTTCAACTAAATAATTTTGCATAATGTATAAATCTCTAGTAAGTTCAGTAATTGCAGCACATTCTAAACACTGAATTGCATTTTTGAGGATTTAATTCAAAGGCTTGAATGTGTATGTTAATTAACTTAATTCAGAAAGTTATGCCTCCAAAAGAAAACAAAGTATGCACACTAAACCATTTTAAGTATTAATTTAATATTCACTTTTGACTTGAATGTATAAATACTTAAATAAACAGAAATATTTTCAGTAACATAAACAAACATATTTCAAAACAAGCTATTGTACTACATTCCTAATCTATTTGAATATTGGCCAATACAACCTGATATGCTACCTGTACCACAAAAAATTCTGCTTTCCTACGAGCACTGTAACAATCCTAGATACTGTTCCAGACTCTTCTCAAAATATGTGATTTTTATCTGATCATGTTCCTTAGTGACAAGCAGCCACCTGTGGTTCAGTGATGAAGTCCAGTGAATACTTGGTAGTTCGATCTGGATTCGAATACTGGCTGCATGAGCATTTTCCCATGTGTAACATGGATATGACCAATTTTACTTGGAAATTTTCTCCATAAATGCATTCCTCCTCTTTAGCAGATGCTCTTCATGTCTTTTCCTTTAATCAA